ATAGATTATCTAGGTGCAGCCTATATACTAGATTTTAGAGAAAATCTATTAAGTAGTTCTCTAGATCTAGATCCCTGTCAATCGCGATTTTTGGTGAGATTTTGACTGGCCCACATACTGGGGTGGCCCGCTTACTGGTGAAACACGTTATATTTAAGAATATACTTATATAATATATAAGACTAAATAATAAACTTTACTTCTTAATTTTATTTTATTTTATTAGGTTATTATAGATTAATTGCATAGAAAGTCGCGTTAGGTTAGGTAGGGTGCCCAGCTTACTGGTGTGCCCAGCTTACTGGTGGAACACGTTATAGTCATCGGCTTAGCAAGCGCCGCAAGTTGAGGTTCCGAGCCTCCGAACTGGCCCCCACTTGCCAAACAATGTACCCAACGCCATACATGACACTTCTCACAACATCCAACACGCCTGGTATATCAGCACTCATGTCGCTGCCCCGGAGAACAGGAGCATTTTTCGCATGGCCACACATCCCACCATGAGCTCCCACAAGCCAGTCCTCATTGCTGGCGCTGGCCTTGCTTCGCTTCTCCTTGCCCACTCGTTGCACCGTTCCAAAATCCCATTCCTCGTTTTTGAGCGTGACGCGTCCATTGTTTTTCGAGCACAGGGTTATCGTCTGCGCCTATCTAGCCAGGGACTCGATGCAATAGAAAATGTCCTCGGCCCCGAGGGCTTTCAGAAATTCTACGACAAGTGCGGCAAGACTGGCGGCGCGGGATTTGCTGCCATCGACCCATTGACGGGCGAGATACTGACGGGAGGACAGCCACCTGTCAATAACAATGGGCCGTTGACCAGCAGAGATGGCAAGATTGTGGGCATCTCGCGAGGCGACATGCGTGCGCTCTTTCTAGAGGGCCTGGAACACAATGTACGATGGAGCCACCAAATTGTAGGCTATGAGAAGACAGATGACGGGGTGCGCCTTGTCTTTGCAGACGGAAGCAAGAGTGAGGAGGGCTCCATGTTGGTAGGTGGTGAGGGCGTCAAAAGTGCAGTCGCAGGCCAACTATCGAATGGCGCAATCAAGGTCTACGACCTAGGCTCCCGAGGAATACATGGTCAGGCACCCACGGCTGCTTTCAAAGGCCTGGGCGAGGGCGTCTTTCTCTTCAATGATAGCGATTCTCAGCCGAATGGTGGCAAGGTCTTCCTGATCACCAACGTGCGTGCTGGCGATATGGACAATCCAGACGTCGAGTTTGGCTGGACCATGGGCGGCTCACCGGGCGTCATTGATGCACCCAACGACAACTACACCATCACTGGCCCGCCAGCGGCAAAAATCGCAAAGTCGCTTACTTCGCACTGGCATGCGCGCGTGAAGTCGCTCATGGACAATATGAACGAGGCCGAGGCTGCCTTTTGGAAAATCACCTGTTCTTCGCCAGACGGCGTACCTGCATGGCCTAACGAGCCTCAAGTGACTGTTATTGGCGACGCTGTGCATGCGATGACGCCAGCAGGTGGTAACGGCGCGAATACAGCGATGCGCGACTCGGCTTTGTTGGGTCGATTAATGGCAGAGGCGTGGGAGCGCGGCGACGGCGATAGTTGGATGGGCGTGACAGTAGCCTACGAGAAAGAGATGCGTGTCTATGCAACTGAGGCTGTCCAGGCCAGCTATGGCTCGGCTGTAACACAGTTTGGTGTGAATCTTGACTTGGAAAATGCGCCTACCATTAATGAGTATGTGGTCCCCAATTGAAACGGGACGTAATAGCTTCAATAAATCCAGCAGAAACGCCGAGTTCTACGAGTCCTTGGTTTTGTTCAAAAACTGCCATGGCCAATATGTGAACGGCTCCAACTTGACCAAGATGATTGCAGTACAGTACCACGCGATAGTACTTACATATGCTACCAGCAGCGTGGCGTAAGCGACAACCGAAGAAGTGGCCTGACAGACACGGACAGAAAAGCAGCTGGAGTAGAGCGGAGCAAAGCGGAGCGGAGCAGACGGTTGGCCGATGTTGTCGCATGGTATGCGGCTCCGGCGGGGCTGAGAAGCAAATTTGCTCCATCACATTGACTGTCTGGCATGTCTAGCCTTGCGCGAAGGATGGCCTGACCAGCTGCCAGGACCAGATCCGATGGTCGCCATCCGCCACCACAACTACACGACTCATGCATCCCTTCTTCCCCCGCCTCTCCACTTGGTCCACCCCCGGTTCACCCCGACCTTAAAAACCGGGTCAGTCCACCATGGCTTCTCCTCTCGCGCGAGATTCCCGATGGATGCACACGCCTCACCACGACCGCGCAAACGTCGTGCTATCAATGCATGTGTCAATTGCCGGACGTCCAAGGTGCGATGCGACGGAAACCGCCCCTGTCAACGTTGCGAGAGAAACAGTGCTTCCTGTCAGTACTTTGACGCAGTCAAGGACGAGAATGTACTCCGCATCGAGAAGTTGGAAGCCGACATGGCTGCACTGCGCGAGCTGCTCGACACCAGAGAGACACCAGGTCCAAGGACTAGCGTGAGTGACGGTTCTTACATGCATCAGTGGTGCTTCTGGAAAAAGTCCCGGCCCAACAGACAGGTGCCGGCATGGCTGCAAGACAGTCCAAACCCCACGTGGCTGAAGGGATAAAGACATGTCGCTAACTCAATTCCCAATGTAGTCACACATGGATAACGCAAGCGTGACTGTTGCAGAAATCACACCCCGTTCCTCAGCCGGGCACAATGCAATCGGCAGTGCTGTTGATGCAGGCTTCATCACTTGGGATCAAGCCGCTCACTGGTACCAGAGGCAGGTAGACCCTTCAATCTTTGCTCCCACTCATAATGCTGACCCTCGTCTAGTTTTTTCTCCGGCAGCGTAAGCCATGGCTCTATTCGCAACAACATGACGCTAAGTAGCACAGCAATACCTCGTACCAATATTCTGTGAGAGATATGACACCACTACTTCTGTATCCTCACGTAGTGCAGTCCTCTTCGATGCCATAGTCAGCATTGGTTGTCGTGCCGAAGAAGGGTTCAATACAACCATTTACCGCCAGCTCCAATCCAGGGTTCGCGATCACATCACAAACTTACTCATCAACAAGAGTACACCCAGTATAGAGGACATACAGGCCATTGCCCTGGTTGCCGCCTACTCTGAAAACAGTTTCTTCTTGATTGCAACGGCCCTTCGCTTTGCCATACAGCTTGACCTGCCCCGGGTTGTTGATCAACTCATTGCAAAAGGCCAAATACGTTCTGGAGCCGTCAGCAGCGATGAGCAAGAATTGTACCGTCTATCCCGGGTCTGGCATGGAATTTGCAACTTCGAACTCTTGTAAGCGCTATTCTGGTTATATCTAAAGTTGGCTGTCTGACGCACCGCAGTTTCTCGCTAGACGGGGGAAAGTTACCTGGCTTGAATTTCCATACCTCGCCTAGGAAAATCAGAAGCCTTCTCCAACACCCTGAACATACATCAGTCGACATTCGGCTACTCTCCCAGGTAGAACTCAACCTAATTCGTGCAGAAGCATATACCAAGATCATGCGACGAGACACGGATGAATTTCTTCTCCAGGAAAACGAAAATAAAGTCCGGAGTACAGTAGACGAAGCTTGTGTAGAGTTGACGCTCTGGTTGGATGAATGGACAAACATCATCTTGGCAGAACCCGTGCCACATCGACGAGCAATGGCATTGCAAAACCTCCACATCCAGCGTGAATGGGCCATGATGACACTGTACTTGAAGGCTGTGGCGTCATCTGGTGTGGAAAATATTGCGTTCATGACCGACTTCCAGAAGAACTTTATACGTAGAGCTAAAGACGCAGCAAGCCGACATCTACACTATATGCTACAATCCTATACATCGACTCCAGATTCTTCGCCGGCGTCCTCAACGCACACAATTGGCTCTACCTATCTCAGCACATTCCGATGGACTCTGGAATACGTATGGGCAAAGTGCGCAGTCTCCGTTTTGCTCGTACTCAAACTCGCCATTCTCCTTCGCGATCCTGCTGCATCCGTCATGGCACTTCTCCGCGACGCTCATAGGGTACTTGAAGAACTCAAGACTGTGACGGTAGGACATATTGCATACTTCCAAATCCTTCAAACAAGTATTGAGAAATGCGAGGCTGCATTGCGAGAATACTCTGTTGAACAGAATCATGCTATGCAGTCGTCACCTGCGTCTGGGACGGATGGTGGTGCCGCTGAAACAGAGTTTCAGGGCTATGTGCCGCGAGAATTCGTATTCGAGTGGGATTTTCCTGGGCTCAATCTTAAACACATGCCTTCAGGGTGGCAGGATCTATTCGTCAATATTGACAGTCTCTTCTGATTTGACCCTTAAGCTGGTATCTGACTATAGACCAAATTACCATCAACAGGAGTTGTATTGCTATATTTACATCTTTTTTAATCATGGAAGAAAAATATCTATGAATCATCACGCGCTACTACTCGTTTTAATAGATATAAATGAAGTCCTCGTTCTTGAGGTCGGTCACATCGTCAAAGGCCTTGTCGCCCACCCCGCTTGCCTCGTTCTCGGCTTCCTCGGTGCTCCCTTCAACAGCGTTTCCCATGCTTGTGTCGACAACAACGGCCGACTTGCCCATACTCTCTCGTGTCGCGGCATGCTTGCGGTTCAGCAGTTTGATCCATAGCATTGCTACCAAGATCAAAACAATGATGAGGATGAAAAGGGCAAGGCACACGCGCAGACCACGCTTGTAGTACGGCTTTTCAGACGGCTTGAAGATCTGCGGCCCGATGATGTTTCCTGCACTGGCGCCAATGAATAGTATGCTGGTAGTGACTTTGCGCTTTGTGTCTCCACCCGTGTTTTGACCCGACCAGGAATAGATGAGTGGCGAGATACCCGGATAAAAGGATGTCATGTAGTACCCAAAGAGCAGAAGGCCGCGGTTTGAAGCACCGCGCCCAACCACCATGAGGATGACAATACCGACAATGGGCGGGATACACAGCAGGATGAGAACAGGCGACTTCTTCTTGAGCCATGTTGCTAGCCAAGCACCGCCAACCGTCGCGACGATTTGCACAACGCCAAAGGGCATGTTGAACAAGATGGTCTCAAACTTCCCGAAACCGAAACCCTGAATGATCAATGGACCAAAGGCAGAGATGCCACCACTTGGAATACTGATGGCAGTCAACATGGAGAACCAGAGCCATGTCTTGATGTCCAGGAATGCCTCGAACACATGGTCCCACTTCCAAACTCGAGATGCAACGCCCATCTGGTTCATGCGCAGACGCTCAACCGCGATGAGCCTTTCGTGCTCGGTCAAGAATTTTGCCTCCATGGGAGAGTCGGGCATGAAGACCCAAACGAATATCGACACCACAACCGTGAGGAGTCCACAAAAGAGGAAGATGATCTGGTACGAATGTAGAAGCTTCGAGTCGATGTGTCCGAGACCATAGCATAGCAGACTGCCAAGAATGTTGACAATGCCCAGCATGGAATACCAGGCCGCGTTTCGGTTCGTTTGTTCGCCGCGTTTGTACCACATTTGGACTACAGCGATGAAAGCGGGAGCTGGGAAAGATATTAGCGAATTGAAGGCCAGAAAAAGAAAGAAAGAGGAGTTTTTTGTGTATGTATGTGGTGGACACTTACCGACTGCAGCCTCAAAGGCGCCCAATAGAAACCGCGTCGCCATGAGTCCTTCGAAATTCTTTGCGCCTGCCATACCGCAAAGGATGCAGCCCCATGTGAAGACCATGGCGCCAATAAATTTTCCCATTCTCATCTTGACGAGCAAGAAGGCGACGAGCGGCTGTGCCACCAATTGGGCAATGTAAACGATACTTCCCAGCCAGGAATACTGCTGCGATTTTGGATCGAGATTTGCGTCTTCGATGAGCCCAAAGACGGATGCGTATGAGAGAGTGGTCTTGTCGAGAGACTGGAGAAAATAAACGCTAAGCAGGATAGGTAGGATGATGAGATCAATCTTCTTCAGCACACGCCTATTTTCCTCCGATGTCACCACTATACGTTCATTTGAGGCGAGCAGCTCAGCGGCCTTGTCTTTTCCTTTGCGGTTCTTCTCGTCGGTGGGCTTGTGGATGGATTCTGTAGTTTCGACATTGGATTTGACACCAACGTCTGCTGCTGCTGCTGATGGAGTAGTCGCGGCCATGTCGGGTTTGTGAGACATGATGAAAGCAAACAAGAATAGCGCCCTGAATACTGGGGGCAGTGTTTGCTGGCGATCTGCGCAAGAGCACTTATATCATTTTCCCCACGGGGACCCCATATGTGTATCTTGCCTGGTTCCAGCCTAGTGGAGCGCATGTGTCGGCCGAAGATGCCGGCTCAACGGGCCTTGTGACAAACCTACTCCATTCCTCTCGGCAACTAGAAATGGGGCTCTCGGTCAAATGCCGACCTCAAGCCTTGCTATAAATTCCGAGTCACTGTGTGGGTAGTGGTCGAAAACAGCATACCGCTTGTTGACGCCCCCTTTTGTTTCGTCATGCCCATGCTTGAGCACGTTCCTGCCGGCTATCAAGCCGGCGCTGCCACGGCAACATCAAATGCAAGCGTCGAATTACAGTCAAATGTAGGAGACTTCAAATTCACTTTCGATGCGATACGGCCGGGACTGTTTCGCACAACCTTTACCTCACCGAAACATTTGCTGCCACCTCATCGAGCAGCCCCGGTCCCCAACAAGACTGTGGACAACTCTAACGCTACAGTTTTGTCATCTGGTACGGCTGCAAAAAGCTTCCAAGTCGACGGTGTCACGGCTCAAGTTGACTGGGAAAGCGGACTCCCGCTCGTGTCCCTGACTCTTTCTGGTCAGCAAAAACCAATCCATGCCGACCTTCCCAATCGATCGTATGCCGCTGATGGACCTGGCATTTCTCATTACACCAAGTACAATCATGGCACACTCCATCTTGGGCTTGGCGAGAAGCCAGCACCCATGGATCTTTCAAACCGCCACTTTGTGCTATCAGCAACTGACTCTTTCGGTTATGATGTGTACCGGACGGATCCATTGTACAAGCACATTCCGCTTCTGATCAATGCTACGCCAGACGGATGTGTCGGCATCTTCTCCACATCACATGCACGTGGCTTTTACTCGGTGGGCTCGGAAATGGATGGTATGTGGGGTCGTTTTAAGGTCTATCGCCAGGACTACGGGGGCCTTGAAGAGTATCTACTTGTAGGCAAGACACTACCAGACATTGTTCGCATCTACGCAGATCTTGTTGGATATCCCCTTCTGGTGCCGCGATGGGCATTTGGTTATCTGGCTGGTGGAATGAAGTACTCCATGACGGACGACCCCCCTGCGAGCCAAAGCATGATGGAGTTTGCGAGAAAGCTGAAAGAGCATGATATTCCGTGCTCGGGTATGCAAATGTCTTCTGGATACACAGTTGCAGAGACTGAGCCCAAGACACGAAATGTCTTCACGTGGAACAGGCATCGCTTTGCAGATCCCAAAGGCTGGATTGATGCATACCACAAAGAAGGAATTCGACTCATCGCAAACGTCAAGCCGTATGTGCTGGGAAGCCACCCAGAGTACCAAAAGCTCAAGGAGGCCAATGCATTCTTCACCGACTCACTGACAACAGCGCCAGCTGAAGCTCGTCTTTGGAGCGCCGGGGGTGGCGAAAGTGGTATTGGTGGGCATATTGACTTTACATCAAAAGCTGGTTACCAATGGTGGTATGAAGGCATTCGCGAGCTGAAGCGAATAGGGATTGATTGCATCTGGAATGATAACAACGAGTACACCATCCCTCACGACGCATGGCAATGCGAACTTAGTGAGCCTTCTGTTAGCCAAGAGCCAAAGAACGAAAAGTATGGCCAAGAGATCGGGTTCTGGGGACGAGCACTAAATACCGAGCTCATGGGAAAATCTTCTCACGATGCTTCGTTGGAGGTTGAACCGGAGCAGCGTCCTTTTATCTTGACCCGCAGTGCCACAGCTGGGACATTGCGATACTGCGCCAGTGCATGGAGTGGTGACAACGTGACCTCCTGGCCCGGCATGAAAGGTGCGAATGCTCTTTCCCTGACTGCCGGCATCTGTCTGATGCAATGTTACGGTCATGATATTGGCGGTTTCGAAGGCCCTCAACCATCGCCCGAACTGCTCGTTCGATGGTGCCAACAAGGCATCTACAGCCCTCGCTTCGCAATCAACTGTTTCAAGACTGGCAACGACAACAGCGTCGGCGATGTGATTGAGCCTTGGATGTATCCCGAGACGACGGCATTGGTCAGAGATACCATCAAGCGTCGCTACGAAATGATTCCGTACCTCTACTCGCTTGCTTTACATTCACACATGACGGCAACGCCTCCGCAGCGATGGACTGGCTGGGGATACGAGTCGGACCCCGAGATCTGGAACAATAAGGTTTTGACAGACGGCGAGACACAGTATTGGCTTGGTGATGCACTGCTGGTAGGCGGCGTTTTCGAAGCCAATGCCGAGAGCGCCAAGATATATCTCCCAAAAGACGCTTCGGACCCGAATGCTGAGTTCCTTGATCTCAACAATGCGCCCCAGACATACTACAAGGCCGGGAAGTGGGTCGATATCCAAGCGAAATGGACCGATAGCATCCCTGTACTAGCAAAGGTTGGATCGGCGATTCCTGTTGGGAGGGCAGAGCAGGTACTCTCGGTAGGGGAGAAAAGCAACCCTGCGAACCTTACTCGCGACGATTACCGTGCTGTCGAGGTGTTTCCGCCAAAGGCTTCATCAAACGGCAAAGTCTACACAACGACCTGGTACGAAGACGACGGTGTTTCACCGCCGCCCGCGAAGATTTCAGTGTTTGTTGTCAAGTACGAGGCGTCGGAAAGCGAGGTCTCGGTCAGCTATGAGGAGAAACTGCAGCAAGGATTCGAGCCAGCATGGTCGGCATTAGAGATCATCCTGCCCCGAGGTGATGTGAGAAGCGTGTCGTTCAACGGGAACAAGGCTGAGAAGGTAGACACCGATGCAAAGGGGAGGACTAGGTGGAAGGGTGTCGTTGAAAGGAGTGGCAAGTGACTGACGACTGCAATGGTGGAATCGCTAGAATAAAAAACATTAGATCAAAATTCTTCAATACGATATGAATATGTCCAATAGCATAAGCATGTCATATCTTGCCGCTGTCAGTCTATGCAAAATTGTCATTAATGCATGATTGAGCAAAAGTGTGATGATTGCTACTCATGAGACTCACCGTTGGTGAAGTACAATTTGGTGGTAGTCTTGATAAAAGGCTTATGGACGTTGGCAAGGACAATTGTATTGTGTGGACTGGTGGTAGTGTTAGAGGAGATACGTAATTTGATTCAGAGTCAGGTATATCTCCATTATGTCTACCCCTCAAGTAGTTACGACTTAATTGCGGCCTTGGTAGTTTCTAGAGCGCCAACAACTGCGAAACATATCATGGGCGTGACTGCGTAGCTGATCTGGAGATTGGTTAGATGGGGCTCTCTCCTGAGGTTGGTGGTGGCGATGTTGCTTACGGTGAGGAATTTTGCAACAGTCATTTTCATGGACTCAGCAGCACCCGTTACATCACACAAGGCAACCAGGATCATAGCCGGTGGCCCTGTGGGCATGAGCATCATGGAAAACCAGAGCATAGGATCGGCATCCAATAATCTGGTTTTGGATGCGAGTGCCCATATGAGAGGAATGCTGATGCTAACGTTTGTCAGTGAATAAGGGTTATAACCTGAGGCAATGCGAGACTTACAGAGGCCATACGATGAAGCGCATAAGAAGCACAAGCGCTAGACTTGCCTTCTCTACCTGGCCGCTGTCTTGACCCTTTTTCATGCGCAACATGCTCTTGCTGAGTTTGACGCCGACGACTATGATTTGCAAGGAAGCAAAAAGCTCGCCAACATTCTTGATGGCGGTTGTAAGCCAGGCGTTGAGATATCCGCCTTGGTTGCTGGGGTTGAAGAAGAGGCGATGGAGTGGAGGCGTGAAACCAATAATGGCACCCACCAGGGCACCAATCAGGGGGGCATTAGCAAATTGCCAAGTGATGTCGAGTGTCTCTTGGAGCCAAGGGGAGAGGCCCCGGTACCAGCTGCGTGTCTTGAGATAGCCGCTCTTTTCTATCCGATTTGCTCGTTTTACAATGCGACGAGGAAGCAGCGAAGTCTCCTCATTGACGATGCCATGCGGTCCCCTCTCGGTGTCTGCAGTGTTAGCATCGCTCTCGCCGGAATCACTCGCCTGATCGTCCTGGACACTGGCGTCTTGACTCTCCGGATCATCTTCGTCTCCAGGTTTCAGTAGTCTCGGGCCAAGTGCAAAGGTAAGTGAGTTGCTGACCATGGCATTGACCAAGAAATATGACTCAGCGCGTTCCACTGCCTGGCTCCCCGATTCGCCAGTAGTGAGGATGACATCAAGAATTCGTGTTTGTTTGAACGACTGGATGAGAAGCAGAGGAAGGGACGTCGTGTTGTTGAATGCGATAGCTGGCGCTACCCAAGCCGGCAATTTGAAGAAGCGGGTGAGGACGCGGCCAATGAGAAGAGAAAGAAGTGTATAGCAGACGGACCAGACTGTGTGCCGGGGGTGAGTAATGACGTGAAGCGCGCGTTCAACTGCGACGCGAGGTTGGTGACTTACTGAGAATTGGCACGTATCTCAGGCCCGTGTCTTGATGCAGATTGTCGCCAATCTTGTAAATCAACAGGGCAGGGAGGAACATGCGCACGCATAGTCTGGAAACCTCCTTTGCTGCGTTTGGTGAAAGGAGATTGCACTGTGCTGCGACGACGCCCAGAGCAATGGTCAGGAGGACTGAGAGGGCGGCCTGCAGCGCGCCAGTGAAAGGGACTATGAGTTCGGAAATGGCGATGCCCATGGTTGGAGATGGCAATGGAAGAGCCAACTGGACAATAACAGAGGTAGGAGTAAGAAGAAGGTTGGCATTGTTCTTGTTGTGCACGTGCTCTCTCAACCAGTCGCGTTGCTGAAGGTGATGGTGACGTCGGTGCAGTGGGGCTGCCGTTGCCTTCTGGGACGCTAATAAATCATTCTGCCTCTCTTCACCCACTGTTTGGGGTACATAATACCTACTGCTAATTACATCTACTGTGTACTACGTGGTAGCAGTAGAATACTCCGATCCGATCACTGTCATATTCCGAGTCTTCGTTTCCGAGAGTCGAGTTGATATCGGCCACAGAGCCATGGCATACGTTGTTAGCAGGTGGATGCGTCTAATCCGCCCAGGAAATTTCGGTAATGTGCGCTGTCCATGTGCGCATCGATACAATATAGCACTGATTCTTTGAATGAAAACAGCTGGAATAGGCTCCTACATAGCCCTGTGTTGGTATGGATATATCACCGAGTACTTACTGGCTGTCGGCAAATTTGGGGGAGCGCCAAAAACGAAGACCCGGTTGTTTCCACCCCGCCATACTTAATCCCTACTGAAACACAATCGGAAGATCAAGGCTGCCCATCTATCCAGCACCGGTTAGCATCACCGACGGCCTCGGCTTACCATTGTCCATCACAATAGTGCTGTGTGCTCGTAATCAGCCCCACATGCATGTACGCTCTACATATCACGCTATTAGCCAAAACATTACTCTTCAACAGCAAAAGGCTTTGAAGACTAATAGCCCCGCTGATTGTTCTACGTACCGAGAAAAGAGCCAGTACTGCTTAAACATTTATCTTGCTAGGAAAAATATTGGTTGGATTACGGAGCCCGTCAGTGTTGCAGTTGCGCCAACCAAAGGCAATACATTCAAGGCATCAACATGCTGCATGGAGACCGTGGCCTTGTGACCGTATATCGCTCTCTTCAATGCACCCTATGAACTTTGCACAGCTGACACGGTTCACAGATAACAGGCGCAAATGGAACTATAGGCTATGCTTGCGTCGTATATGCCCTTCAAACAGGTTATCGCGTGCGTTGCGTTGTGCGCCGCCCACAAGCCATTGAAACTATCAAATCCGGGCCTTCTGTTCAACTTTACCTCGGCCTTCTTGAGTTCTGCATTGTTCTGGACAATGCCATCGACGGCGCATACGACGAAGCCGTTGCCGGTGCGGATTACGTTGTGCATGTAGCCGGTGTGTGGCCGCTGCCGCATCTGCACCCAGACACGGACATTTACAGCCCGTTCATCCACTCAACCAAGGGCTTGATCAAGGCCGTACAAAACTCTGTTACAGTGAAGAGAATTGTCTTCACTCAAGCCGGTGCAGGTTTGATTGATGCAGCTGACGGTGACACGCTGGGCACACGCATGCATCATACAATGGACGGTAAATCCCTCCCCGTGGCTGTTTTCACCATTCCTCCCCTCACTGAGCCGTGTAGAGCATATACAAGTGTCACCGACTTCACTCAAGTATAGACCGCCGCTAGAATCACCTCACCACGCATACTGCGCTGGGAAAGCTCAATGCATGGCGTTTCTTGCGGATCTCCAGGCCAGTGGAAAGCTTCCCTTCTCCATTGCTCAAGTGATTCCAGGGACGGTTATTGGGCCTTCCGAATTCTGTCACACCACTGCTGAAGCTTATGCTTACCTTGATCGGCAAAGTAAAGCCCTTCTTTTTGACAGCGTGGCTCCGCGATATGCGTTTGGATTCGTGCATGTGCAAGACTGTGCAAAGGTGCACATCGAGGCTTTGGACGAGGTCAAAGTGGAAAGCAAACATCTTCCCAGGTGGTTTGTTGCTGCCGGGACAGTGCAAGAGGGTTTGGATGGCGAGAAGATCTGGAATGCAGCTGCAGATATGGTTGAGAGAGACTTTCCAAACCAGGTAAAATCGGGGTTGTTCAAGGTTGGGCGAGGCAAAGTACCTATCAATATGCCGTTTCGTGCCGAGTCGAAGCTGACTGAAAAGTTACTTCTTCAAGGCGATAGCATGAGGGGGTTGAACGAGAGCGTCAAGGAAGTAGCGCAGTGGTATGTTACCCTGAGAGAGAACGAAGTTTAATACGAGGTCTCGTTAAAAGGGTATGCTACTTTGTAGACACGAATTGTTTACCATTTGAAGCTTTCTTCGAAGTACTCTATTCCCGTATGGCCCACGCCTAACATCTGTACACTAGCCCTCCTCGCTTGATCAGCCATAAGTGCTGGTCCACAGCCAACAACAGCTAGTGATCCCCGACGTGCATTCTCTGCTGCTTTCTTCACAACCTGAAACACATTGGGTCTTTGCGTCGCGATCCTGACGTTCTTGAGGTCTTTGTCAAGGATTTCGTCGTCATCGTCAACATCCCTCGTGATGTGTACATCCATATCAACCTTCTCGTTACCCAACACGCTGTGAAAGTCACGGAGTAGTGTGGTGAGAAACGCGTGCTCACGAACCGCCCATACTATCTTTATGTGCAAGACCTGTGATGAACCGGTGACAAGTTCACTGAGATATGATAGCGGTATCGCGACCCCTGTACCCCCGACTACGAACAACACATTCGCAAAGGTACGCAGAGGTGCAACATGGCCATACGGCCCATCGACAAGAACCGAGATCTTTCTTGGATGTAATAGGCAACTTGATTTCAATCGAGATGTGAGCCCGTTATAAGGTCGGATTAGAAACACCAGAGTAGACGAAGCTTTGGGTGCCTTGTTTGACAAGAGTGTGTCCGACTCAGTTGAGGAATCTGGTAGATCTTCTATGTTGTCAGGGCTATGCGACAGAGACGCTAGAGGGGTGATCGCTGACGATGTTGCATCGGGCGAAACGAAGGCCAGTGTGAATGGGTGACTCTGGTGAGCAAATCGTATGTCATCAAGAACATGGACATAATAGTATGATCCTGGTCGAGGAGCTAATAAACTCTTGCTGCTATCGACATCCAGACGTACGAGGTTGCTGCATGCATCATAAGTTGCTTTGGCGTTAGTGCTGAACGGTCTACGGCTAAATGCGAAGATCCGAGCAAGACGCAAAGCGCGGTCGAGGATCCAAAGTGCAGCACAAGGCCATATAAATACGTCCCACTCCCCGGCGGTGAACATCTCGACGTGGTAATACATGGTCCATAATACTGCGACAGAAAGCGCAATGTGCGTAACCAAAAAGAAATCGTAGTGTCGACGGCGAATGGCATATACTGAAAGAACGAGAAGGGTACACATTGCAATGGTTGCAATTTCGCCATTCCAAAAGTAGTGTTCTTTCCAGTACTGGGAAAAGCTTGGCCAACCCCCACTCGCCAGAATCATCACCGTGTATCCCACACTGTGCAATACGGCCTGTATAGTTGCGACTCTTGCAACCCATCTATGGAACGCATTGTACGTTCCAAATCCCCACCCAGTTATCCAAATGAGAAAGTCATTACGCATCCCAAATAGCCAGACCAAAGGGAAATTGGCGAGAGATATTATGCCAGTTCGATCCGACACGAAGCGGAGTAGCTGCGCGGACTTTTCTGGCCAGTAAAGATTCCCTTCAGTAAGCCGATAAGAGCAGCTGCAAATTGCTATGTTGAATGCGACAAATAGAAAAATAGTAAGCGATTGAATCCGAGGAGGAATGGTGCACCAGCCATAGGGCCGCGCGCAGCGGTTGCCAAATGCAGCTGGTATTGTGAGATTGCGCCGCAACCAGGATACAATGAAAGCGGAGACAGTGCGCATGTTGCGAGGAGAGTTCTCTTGGACCCCAGGAAGTCTCAAGTATGGCGTTTCCGTACGTCGACGCTTGTAGACGAACGATAAGAGACGATTCGCGACACCAATAAGGACTACTAGGATCCAAAAGTTGTACATGTACCACCTGGATACTTGTATCAGCCACTGTACTTAGCACGTAAACCGGATCATTTACCCATATACACGATGTATTTTGTACTCCCAGTTAGCGGTTTCCTGTGTTACAAACGCATCAGCATTACACGACCCTCTTCGGTCTGGTGGGTGGATGCCGTACCACGGTGGTGTATGCTCGCTTAAACAAGTCGTGTTCAGGTATCACCAGGTGGTTCAGGGACGGGAACTTGAGGGCGTCGGTGGCAGATAATCTGTCCACCTTGTTCTTAGCCTCTGGTGACCACCGATCCAAAACGTCTTGCAGGGAAGGTAATGTGACATTTGCATTGTGGGAGCACCTGAGACTTTGAGTCTCTATCCAACTCGCGATTGCGCCATCTCGTTGGCAGAATTCATCGAAGCATAGATACAAAGACGTAATGCGCAAGTCGCTGCAACACGCGTTTACTTTCCAGGGCAGCAGTGGGTTGCTATCGTTAAAGGTCACGTAGTTGATTGTCGTTTCGCAAGACAACGGACAGTCGTTTCCCGAATAGAAAGCATACGTTACATTCATCAGAACGAAATTGAAGTTTATGTAGGTAGAAATGCGCGAGAAAGAACGCGTTGCAGGACAATAAGCTGTTGTGGTGCAGTCTCGGATCTATGGCGGGGAAAGACAAATTTCATCAGATAACGCTGCACTAGTACGTAATCATCGCTGATCTCTCGGCAATAGCTCGGTGCTGATCGTCCAATCCACCTACTCACTAAATACTTTTGAAAGTACTACATTTCAGAGACTGGCTTTGATACTTGCTACTATACTTTTAAATCTTTTAAAAATAAAGCTATCGTGATGTACCAAGAATAAAATAGTCCAGAAAAACAAATAAAGTATAGAAACAGAATAGCAAAGTAAGACTCGTAGAGAGAAAAATGAAAAGATGCACTGCTAGCAATATGGAATGTTTGGCCCAATAAGAAGAGGTAATCGTGCATGAGCACCAGCAAATAGCCCGAGGACACGAGTAATTCCATTCATTAGACCATCTCGGAAATGAAGTCTGTCTCAGAGGAAAACCACTTATTGATCTACGTATGAACTTCCCATCAAATTGCGAACTATGCTGATAAACGAACCTTTAAGCGTGCATAGCACTGCGAAAGTTTGTGCGTTGGTCTTTCCAAGCTCTCATGGCTTGACAAACCATCCAGTGAGCGTTGAAGCTTACAAGTCCAAACCAACAAAGTTATCAACAGCTTAAGCTCCAAATACGCTAACTTTCTTCCAAAACTTCCTCGAAGGCCAAAGCCAAAGGGGAGAATTGAGTCGAATATCGAATTCAACTGCTCTCTGCCATTATTCTCAAGCATAAACCACCGCTCAGGATCGAACATGTCCATGCCCTCCTCATCCCACGCTCGGAAACCATGTTCTCAGGATGCCGCTTAACGTGTTAGGCTGCGAATACTTTTTTCGATGTCCAATTCCCGCTCAGTAAAGCTAGGACCTTTGCTTACCATCATAATATGGATACCTTCCGGAATGCAGTGGCCTAAGACAACAGTGTCCTCTATGCATTGCCGATGTTAAGAGATCGCGGTGTTACCAAGACGCAGCGACTCCTCGACAACAGCATCCAGATAGGGGATGCTTGCGTCACAGATCTCGCTGTGAGTAGGGAGGCGATATTCAGTGACAGCAGCTGTATGGAAACTGCGAAGGCTTTTGAGAAGTTTCTTTTGAACATCAGGATCGTCTAGTATGAGTTCGAAACTCCAGCACATCGTCATTCTCGTTGTATCATGGCCAGTGATAATAAATCCAATGACCTAAGTGCAATGGCTAGCAGGTCAGTAGTTGGAGACCTTAATTTGAAGAGCAGTTCACATTATCTCTCATGATTTCTAGCCAACTCGAAGCAAGACTGCTATCCCTCTGTGCATGGCCAACTTGCCCTGGACCAATCAAATCGACTGCTGATTCGACATGCGTTTTGTCGTCTTCTTACTTGCCAAGGGTGTTGAATCGACCCATCATGTGCAGAACCTGGTTTGCAACTAACTCGCCCCGTACTGTCCTTCTACGGCGGATATGTGGAAGAAGTCCTACAATAAGCCATGCGAACCTGGGGAACCCAGGTGCAGCCGCGAAGCTCGAGAGTCAAACTTGGCCAAAGATTTGATTTCATCAACCTTGGGGATAAAAGCCCTTATTTTTGTCGCGCTACCAAATCCGAGATACGAAATCCAGCACTGCGTCAAGGGCGGCGTAGAAGATGTCGTGCTCTGCTAGAAAAGGCTTTCTGTCAGCAAATTCTGCCTCCTTCTTCCAGAGATCGAGAGGCAGGGTTGTGCTTCCGTATATATTTGGGGCTGCGACATTGTGAAGAAATTTAGGTGCCATCAGATCTTTGAGTAAACAACGCCGGGTCTTCTGCTGTGGGCCTATCGATATTGTGGTGTGGGGGGATCGCGCCCCGCCACTTAGAACGCTCCTCAACACTAAAGTACTGTTGAATTCTTTTCGGCCTATGAGTGTATTTTGTGCTTAACGAAAGTCTGTGATGAACATAGGTTGATTTGTCTACCATTAGACTAACTCGGTGGGCTCCTATATCAGCATCTGAACCGGCAACTAACGGCAAGAGTTATTTGAAAACGTACCGTAACAGAAGTCCACCGAAGTGGTAGCGAAGCTTCGGTGGACGTCGAGATGCCGGACGGAAAGACAACATCTTTGTTCGCATTGTATGTGATCATGTGCGATGAAGCCAACAGCCATATCCGTCGATCTCTTTCTGGAGATTTGGACTTTGCCGGCTGATACTAGAATGAGCAAATCGTTGCGGCTATCGTTAAATTGTTATCTCTGTCCATACGCTTCCTTTACTAACTTCAGCAGACCCATTATCCTTTCGATGAATTTGGATTTAATGACGGCAACTTCATCATTGACATTGAACATTGGTGAGCATTTCTCGTTCCTTGAGCGGATAACTAGGAGTCTACTAACAGCTGGGTGCTAGGTATATGGCGGCCAGGAAGTCTAAGGGTGGATTATGGAGAGTGATATACGGCGAGATCCCTGGTCTGACCCGGGAGCAGTACCTAGAATGCTAGGCATGGAAATTCAAAACAATGCTTCCGGGAAACTCAGCTCCGGACAATTGAAAGACGATAAACTTCAGCCTATATACGATACACCAGCGTCTGACTGAGTCTATGCTAGTTGGCAGAGTGCTCCCTGCTGGAGACGCCGCGCACCGTGAGTATTTCCCGATATTGGATATCGTCTATGAAGCTAAATACTAAAAGCTGCTCAAGTATACAATCCAATTAGCGGTCTAGGCTTGACAAGAGGAATTACCGGTGTGAACAACCTCTAAGACTGCCTGACTCGCATGGCAACTGGGCGGGCAGACGACTCAATCTTGGACAAGTATAGCGAGATCCGAAGCAAGATATACATAGATTTCGCGGACCCAGTTTCCGAGGTAAACATGAGACGATTGGATCAGAAGGGCTCTAAGACAGCCGCTGAAGACCCAGTTCTCCAGATGATAAATAAGGGAACACAGATCCCGTCGTGGCTGCCAAGATGGCTGAGCATATGCATTCAATATCAAACGGTTTTACATAGTATTGCAAATCTATAGAAGACGAGAACCAGAGACAGAAGTGAAAAAGAAGAAGTATTGGTTTCCATCTTCGAGGTGTTCTACTACACTGAGCGTAGACTTGGATTTGTCAAGTTGCCCGCCTAAGATAGCCGGGGTAACTACTTCTGATAATAAGATTTGCGTTATATCCGCTTATCTCCAGTACTAAGTAATCATGCCAAGGCGCCAAACTTGACTAAGACTCTAAACCCAGCTGCTAAAGGAATCTCGCGCTAAATGATAGCTCCTTGATATCGTTGTTGTAGCATTTCTAAGCAGCTACATGTCCGATTGCGCGAAGATTACCAATATAACCAAACATTTGAAACCTGATACAAAATTGCTTTCGAAAAATAGACAAAAATATATGGGACAAAGAAGTACAAGTATTAGTCTAAAGTCGACAATGAGAGGCTTCTATTATAAGCACACTAGCTTTGATCTATCGACACCCAGCTAAGATCTTCAGAGAAGCTCCATCCGAATACCAAGCAATGAGCTCTATAAAGCGAATCGTACCTCTTCTCTCTCCCTTCATTGCCGCACTTCAAGCCGCTCCGTTGGAAGATATTCGTCTCAACTACCAGCCTCGTCCTTACAATGTCAGCATTGACCCATCCCTGATTGAATTGGCCCGCCAGAAAGCCAGTATCTTCCGCCCTACAGTCGATACCTCAGCCACGGCGTGGTTTGACGGTCCCCCGGCTGCTGACATAGAGTCGATCGCAACATACTGGGCAGAAGAGTACGACTGGCGGGCTATCCAAAATTCCATCAACACCAACTTCTCACACTTCTATACAACAGTTCCGCCCCCTAGTGAGGCTTACAATGAGTCAGTAAGCCTCCACTTCATTCACCAACGAAGTGCCAGACTTGATGCAACTCCCATCCTTCTTCTTCACGGTTGGCCATCGACCGCTCTCGAATGGGCATCTATGATACCCAGACTTGTTTCTCCAGATAACAGCAGCGAACCTGGATTTCATATCGTCGCGCCCGATATACCTGGCTTCGGCTTCTCCCCTGCATTGAACAGTTCTCGCGTCGGCGTTGGTCGCACCGAATACGCAACCATGTTTGCTGCATTAATGCGACAGCTCGGTTACAAGAAGTATGCCGTGTATAGCACTGATATGGGGACTACAATTGCTCTGGGCCTTGTGGTCAATCACGCTGAGAGCATCATGCAGCATATAACAGATTTCTACATGACTTTCCCCAGTCCCAGTGACCAGGCCCGCTACGCTTCGTATCAGACGTCCGAGGAGGAAAATCAATACATCGGGTCATTTAGTTCATTTCTTGATACCCACAGCGGGTATTCGGCGATCCAATCAACATATCCATCATCTCTAGCGTATGCGATGAACGATAGCCCTGTGGGTTTTCTAGCGTGGGTATATCATCTTTCTTCGACAATGAACGATCGCTCGTACGAAAAGGCAGAGATTATCACCAATACACTACTCTTATGGCATCAGGGAGTGTATAGTAATATTAGGTGCTATAAGGAGCTATTTAGTAGTAGCATGTTCTTACCAGATAAGAACTTTACTGTGCCAACAAGTGTGTTGCAGTTTGGAGGCTTGAAACTATATCCGGAACTTGGCAGATTGAATTATGTGGTACGTTTATGATTTCGAACTTTACAAATACAGACTGATGATAGATTAGCCTCTCGAGTGGGTAAAGAGAACAGCAAATGTTACATATTTCGCGCGTGAAAGTGAGGGAGGTCATTTTCCGGCAGTGACAGTACCAGACTTGGTAGTAAAACACATCAGGGCTTCTTTTGCTGAATTATGATCCAGTAACTTTGTGCCTTTAGTTGCCTGCTAGGCATTAAGAACTGAGATGCATCTTCAATTGAAAATCTTCTACATCTTCTGTGTACTCATTGATTTGTTCTATTCAAAAGCGAGTTAAAATCTTATGAAAATTGAATCAATGCTAGCTGGTTAAGTCTCTGCGTTAAGAGAATCAATGAGAAGATCCAATACACAAAGATGTTTTAGCACCCACGTGCTTCATACTAAAGATCTGAAGTAAGCGAAAGTTGGATTAACGTGTTCCACTAGTAAGCTGGGCACACCAGTAAGCTGGGCACCCCACCCAACCTGACGCGACTCTCCACACAATCACCATAATGCCGCGACAATAACGCTCTATATAGACCTCTCGTAAGGGTAGAATAAGTCTTACTATTACGTCTTATTATAATAATTTAAAATAGTCTATCTACGCTTTTATAAAAGTATATAAT